ACTTTGAGATTTGTCCTCTATTTTCTGAAAAAAATTGAAGAGTTGTAGAAAACGCAGGTCATCTAGGGGATTGAAAAAGCCTCTAACTACGGAGGCTGGGCTCTCTCAGTGGATATCTGCTACAGAAGACTACCATCTGCCTTTCTTAAAAGAACTGGCTGATTTTAAGGCAGGGTATTCTTTCACTCCTCAACATCATCTGATTTGGAGTAGGGAAGTAACTCTACATTAGCTTCTCAGTTCTGATGCCTAATGAAGGGTCCACATTGTTAGTCCCCACAGGGTTGCGATTTTCAGGAGCAGGGCTCAGCTCTTGATTCCTCTTGGTTTTTTTCAGGTAAGTGTTCTGAAGCATTATCTAACCCCATTACTGAAATCTGGAAGGAGGGGACAGAAATGGACGTGAACATTCCTGATTGCCAGCAGTTCTGGTTTATGTGCAGGCTCTTTTCAGGAGTCCAGAACAATTAACAGTCAAGATAACCTGTTGTCACCATCTAGCATCTAGATGCATTCTTAAAAAATGGACCCTTTCTCGAGATTATCTTGACCCTACTGCCATACATAGGTACTAATATAGCTCCTATCACTGTTGTATCCAAACACCTCACAACTACACATGCCCTGGTAGGGAATAGGTGAGTTTGGGGGTGGGGAGGGTTCAGCAGGGCGTGGCTGAGGTGGGTGTAGGAGCTGTTTGTGTCTGTGTGTGGGAGAGAAGTGGCAGAAACCCAGTCAAAGCACATGGATGCATGCACATCATACCGTATCCATAGGGATAAAATATCTCAAAGCAGCAATACCCCAAGACGTGCTTGGACTTGTGCTCCCCAAGCACATGGGACTGAGGATATAAAACAGACACAGTGGCCACCTGCTGGGTCTTTCTCCTTCACCCACTTATGCTGCAAGCAACAAGCACACACTGAAAACTCTGAGGGGACTGGCCCAGATTTCAAGGGTGAAATATGTGTACTCTACACTGCAATATCCAGTGGGGTGAGAAAAACTGCTTAAGCTAGATGTTCCCCAGTCTAAGAGGGTTGAGAGTTTAGATTGCATGGTTATATTTTATTTTAGTAACTGACTTTTTTGCCTAACACTTATAGTCACTTAAAATCTAATCTTTTGTAGTCAATACACTTGTTTTACTGTTTACCTTTACCAGTGAGTTTGTATGAAGCGTGTGGCAAATCTGCTCAGGTTTTGCAAAGGCTGGTGTATATCCACTTTCATTGATGAAGTGGTGAATCAATTAATAAATTGCAAGATGCTATATTCCTGAGGTACAGTACTGGGAGCTGGGGGGATTTGGCTCTGGTGCCTTTCTCTGTGTGATATATGAGTGGCTCTGGGAGCATTCATGCAATCTAGCTGGGTGTGGGGCTCCACATGCGCTTGTACTGAGTGGTAATAGTACCTGGAGAGGTTTGCTGCTGGTCACTAGCAAGGCATTGTGAGAGACAGCCCAGGCTGGAGAGAGTTCAGGGGACACGCGGTGCCACGGTTCCAGGCGGCACCCCGGGGATCCCATCACAGGAGCATCCCTTCAGAAGTGAATGGACACTGCTAATGGAAAAATCTCCTATCAAATGCAAACTTGAAGTAGAGAACCCATAGGGACATTACTGGAAGAAGTAGTTTTCCTGCCAAGGAGCTCCAGTTGTTTTGACTCTTTGTCAGAAGGTATGGAGTAAGTTATATTTGGGAGGTCTGGGGCACCTTCTTGAGTCTGGTGTGTCCTCATTGGGGTATACCTCCTGAGGCACTGAATAGTTAAAACTGCACAAGAGCCCTGCACTGAGATCTCTGAGTATGAGGTATTGTCTTCTGAGTCCAAAGGAGGGGCTGTAGTCATCAGTGCTAGGGACAGTACTGGAGGCTGCTACCATACTGTGGGGACTGGTAGATGGATAGCTACTAGGGCTTCAACTTTTGCTGGACCCTGATGTAAAGAGGTGGTTGGTGGGCATAGCGCCACCAGTGGGAAACTCATCTTGGTGTTCCATAAGAGAGGGGGACTCCGGTTCCTCAGAAATGAAGAGATCTTAATGTGAAAGAAATCTAGAGGGTGCCAGAGAGCTATGATAATGCATAGTGAAGACTGGAGGCAGTTCCGGAGCTCGAGTGAGGAACAGGAAGCAAGCTGTGGTTAAAGATAGTACCAATGGAACTGTCGAGGTGGGATCTCTACTCCCTGGGTGCATACAGCCTGAGGAAGATGGTGTCAGAGAAGACTCTGTATGTCACTTGTTTTCCTCATTTGTATACCAGTTTATAGTTGTCTAGCTTCTGGACACCATGTAACACAGTCTTTAGTATTTACTGCAGAGTCCAAACTTGCTATCGGTCAAGGAAAGCAAAGGTCAATCTTGCATAGTTTCAAAATTACCATGATCGGATTGGAAATTCTTATTGATTCCTGCTTGTGCTGTATCTTGTACAAAAACTATGTTGTCCCATCAGCTCCCTGGAGTTGTGTGAAACTTGTCTCAGCTCATGCCACTCTGGATGTCTTCAGATATATCGCAGTGAAGCTAAATACTAATCAGATCAGGAACAATTACTCCTGAAGGGTGTCTTCACCAGACTTTATTACCGCAAAATTAATTAATTAACAGTTAATGGGAAGTACTTAACACATTTGTGAAAATTAGTGTGGACACTCCCCCACATTCCTTCTTTACTCCTAGTCATCAGCCTATATGTTACAGGATACATTCTGCCACTTATTGTCCTAAAGATATAATTGAAAGATACCAGTTTATAAAAAAATATTATCTCCTAAAATAGTTTTGTCTATTACATAGTCAACAGCCACATTCTTTAGAATACCGGTACACTTGCCTAAAGTGGGGAGCTATGAACCGATTAAGAAAGATATGCTCTCACAAGCTATTTTGAAAGTTTCCTCTTATACATTGCACGGCATTGCATAGATACAGCACTTTTGAGAGTTTCAAGACAAAGTTCAACATTACAAATAATGCAGTTTGATCTGGGAAAGAAAACACAGGACATACCTTAATTTTTAAAAATAAATTTAGATTTAAATTGATATTCTCAACATAGGAATGATCAATAATGCCGATTAAGAGTGACAGTAATATCAGGAAAAAAAGTTTTGCTCTCAGATGCTGGACAAAATAATGTTTTCAGATCCAGCAGTATGGCTGCAAATATACCAGCGAATCACATATATTAACAGGCTTGTTGCAGATGAAAACCTCAGATTTAATTTTGTCCCAGAATGGAACACACGGACTGTAGCATTTTTTAAAATCTGCCTTTTCCTTCCTCTTTTTGTAGCTTGCACCTTCTCTTGTTACCTATTAGCATTTGCTGGTGTTTTGAGATGACACTTGCCAGGTTGTTTAGTTGCCAGGCTGTAGCACAATGCTGTAAGCGATATCACCCTGTGCCAAGAATGACTTCAGTGAACTAACCCAAGTTGAGAAGGCTGAATCTTTTCCCTACTTTTTCCCTGGGGGGAGGGAGTGGATAGGAATAAATTCTAAAGTAAAATTCAAAGCATTGCATAGCTACAGCAACATTTCCAGAGAAGGGCACTGACTCAGTTTGTGTATAATTATGAAAGATTTGTACGGGGATGCCAACTATACTGGAATATATGGATCTTTTAAAATGACTAGACACGTCTTGACTAAGAAGTACACTTGTCTAAAAAAAACTCCAGAGATAAGGTAACATTGAAGCCCCAGATGTTTGTTCTGGAGCGCACTCAGCAAAAATTCTGTTTAGTCTATAGCGTGGCTCTGTAAAAGATGGTTTGTAAAAGTTTGTCCCTGACCAGATGAAATGTTAGCATTCTACTAGCAAGACCCATGCGTAAACACATTTATACTAAAAATTCTAGTGAGAGTATAGACATGGGAATAGAAAATTGGACAGTAAGGAGCTGTCTAGTATACAGAGAAGTCACAAAAGGAAATAAAGTATAGACTTGCCTTAAGAAGCTTTAGTACCAGCTTTGGAATGCATGTGTTTGAAAGTACAGTAACTGAGCTCCCATTCTACATAATGGGGACCTACTGTATTCTATCACTCAGCTCAGTACCGGATATTATTCTGGAAAGTGAGCCGGGTGTTGTGAATCTAGATTAACCTAACAATGCTACTAAAAGCATGCACCATGTATATGCAGAAATGTGTAGTGCCCATTACTGTTACTTACTCAGCAAGACCCATGTAAATAAAATGTTTTAGCACACTGTCAATGGATTCCGGTATTAAACACATAAGCCAATCGAATGTACCTAACTAGGTAATTCACATTGTCATCATCTAGGAAATGAGAGACTGAGCAACAGCCTGAGTGAACAGAGGAAGGCCACTCCTACAGTAGGGAGCTAGCAAAGGAAAGGAAGCAGTGGGAGAAAGGAGTGAATAAAAAGGTGCCTTAGGAGCTTGGGAGAAAGGACAGAAATCCTCTTCAGGAACTGGAGAGTAGCAGCAGCAGCAGGCGCCTTCTGTATGTATGGTTTCGATCCACATATATCGTATATAAAGTGAAATAACAAGCAAATTTTGAATTACTGGTCAATTATATTCCTTCTCAGGAACGTCATGAATGGAAATTTATGATAATCACCCTAACTTCATGAATTATGAGACTTTAATTCTCTCAATTGCCTGGTTATTCTCCTGCTGGATATTGAGAGAGAGAGAGAGAGAGAGAGAGAGAGAGAGAGAGAGAGATATGCGGCCTTTAGACATTGACAAAATATATCAAAATTAGCCTGATCCCAGATAATCAAAACATGTACTTTAACATAAATATATTCTTTTAAAAGACTGTTTTACTTACTGTGTTTAGTATTCAGCTACTTATAAACAAGTTCCCATGAAAGAGCTATATCGAAGGAAATTCAAAAATGAACATAACTGACACTGTTTTCAGAGCTTCTAGGACCACAGAATATTAACAGCCATGATTTCATAGCTACTTTTATAATCATTAACCTGGAGACACATTCCATTTCTTTATTTTTTTTATTTGACAAGCAGCAGTATCATGTTCATCTTTTTTATTTTACATTTTAATGTAGATACAATTATTAGGATATCTGTCATATTACAATATTTAGTTTAACTTTTTCTTTTAAGATACATTAAAAAACATCAACTGCAAACGTGAAGGAGGGGGGGGAAAAAAAAAAAAAGCATGGTACCCAACCAAATTTCCACATTTCAGCAATACTTCACTCATTCTTTTAGTAAAGTTTTAAGAAATGTCATAATGACATGAGCTTGAAATATCTATAGGCATTTTCATTGACGCTCATGACGTGGCACTGGTGATGTTGTAAACAGCAGAAAAACAGGGGCTGCCAAGTGACCAGTTATGGAGGCACAGACCTGCTTCTTCCCACAGGAACACACCAAACAGTGACAGCAATGATCTCCTTACAACCACACCTGCTGGAGAGCATCATCATGCTACATAACTGTATTCATCTGCTGAGGCCTGGCTTCGCTCGATGTATTGTTTATCTATCAGAACTTCAATACACTTCTTAATCATGCTGATACTTGGGTTAAACCTAGCTCTCGACTGGCTAATTACCTGTGGAAGAAAAACATTTCATATATCACTTATTCATTAACATCGCTTCAATGCAAATGCAATATAATTTTCTCTAAAGAAAAAAAGACCACAAAAATGATTATTACACACTATATTTCTGAGAGACAGAAAGCCTCCATAATGTACTAAGGTCAAAACACCCACACAGATTGTTTCTTTCCTGACTATATCTATGTCTTTTATTGGTTAAGTTTACTTTTCTCATCAATGGAAAATTGCAACTTGCAGTTGCACCCCTTGGTTAACTTGTCACACAACAGATAAAGGGAAACATTCAATTTAAAATTCATATAGTGTAAATTTCTTGACCCATATTATTAACTTCTTATATCAGTGGTTTTCAACCTATGGTTCATGGACCCCAGAGGGCCCACAGACTATGTCTAAGAATTCTGCACCTCTATTTGAATTTTTTAGGGGTCCACAAATGAAAAGGTTGAAAAATCACTGCCTTAGATAATAAAAAAAGAAAATCATTTTAAAAATCCAATGTGGTTTTCGCTAATTATGTTGTTTACTTTTTGAATTTGTCAGTTTGGCAAATACAGTAGAAATCAGTTAGGTCAGTTTCACTTCCGAGTTACCAGTACTGCAATGTTTCATTTGTGAACATTATAGTTTGTTATTTGTAAAAGAATAGTTTCAATTAGAATATAAAACTAAAATAATTATTAGTCGTAGGTTTTATAACTGTTTTTATAAAAAATGTTGAGGCAATTTGAAGTGATTGACAATATTCCTTTAACGTGGGTTTATAGTCTGGTTGCCAAATGAATTGTGCTCAAGATTACACGTAAAGAGATAACTAAAGAGGTTAAATCTAGCATGGGATCTCAGAGCTAAGCACAGTTTTCTCTTCATGAATCATCGTAACTAAGGCTGGTTGTCTGTCATGACAAAAAAAAAAAAAAAAAAAAAAAAAA